TTTAATCCCTGAACTCCTCTGCAGGTACAGATGGGCATATGGCAGACGTCTTTCTAATTGCCTGGCTCACAGTGACACTGGTTGGATTCAGAGGGGACTAAGCATACCCACTGCCTGCCCAGAATTTCCTCCATTGAGCCAGTCCCTTGAGTGACAATGAAGGTGGAGGCATTGAGGCATTGACTCCAGATATCCCTGGAGGGTGGGGGTTGTCTGTAAAGTCAAGGGGAGGCTCTCTATGGCCTGGAGAAGCTCTTTGACCCCAGGCCTTGACCCTTTACCCCCACCTGAGTGTCTCCATGGGAAACTCACACAGGCTGGGATTTAGGTCACCCAGGCCCATGCATGGTCACTCAAGAGCCTGATTTTCTACCATCTAGATGTTAAAGGTAGTGGAGATAGGTCTAAAGCTACGTGGGAGAGGAAATAACAGAATTCTTTCAGGCCCATTCTTTTTCTAGGATTTAGAAGATGAAAGAGCCTCAGCAGCAGTCCTGTGCTCTGGGCTGGCAGGGAGTCCAGGGAGGTGTGAGCCCAGAGCTGGCAGGGGACGTCCATCTCGGAGCTCCTCTACAGCCTGGGAAAGATAGAGGCTGTGCAGAGAGAGCTGGAGGTAAGGTTGAAACAAAGGGGAGCGGGACAGGAAAGGCCAGGCCTGCCTTTGTCAGCCAACTTTCTGGGGTACAAGGCCTGCTTTCCCACCTCCTGCCCTGGACCTTGTGGCATCTTTGATTTGGGGGCCTGCACAGGGCCTGTCCTGGCTGGGCAGGATCTCCATGGCTGTTGGCTCTGCAACCCACGGTCTGACCCTTGGCTAAATGTCTTCTCTTGAAGCAGCTCAAAGAAATGAGCTATTTTGGCCACTGAGCAATGACTTACCTTTTTAGGCCTGGAAGCCTCATTTTAAGGAGGAAGACTGGGAACCCACTGTTCTTTAGTAGCACTCTGGGGAGAGGAGGGCTTTTGAGAGCATATGGGGGTAGCATAACTGGGCGTTGCAGCCAAATGGCTTACGAAGCATGGGATACCAAAGGGGCAGAGTGTCACAGCAGGAGGAAGTTTCAATGGCATGGAGGAAGAAGTGGGGTATTGGAGCCCTTTTACCTGGGTTCAAATCTCAGCTCCCCTTACACCAGCTTGTGCCTTGGGCAAATGACTCAATCTTGGATTTCCCATCTGCATCTCAAGGGGTGATTGTGAAGGTCAAGTGTACCGTTAGCCATGACAGCTCTTCATAAGCACCTGGCAGTCTGAGAGCTTTGTGTATGCTAACTTGTTCAGTGTTCACAGTGACCCCACGGAGGAAGATTTGTACCATCCCCATTTTACACATGGAGAAATTGGGGAGCAGAGTTCACTAATTTGTTACACAGATAGAAGTATCAGGATTTGAACCCAGGCAGGCTAGTTCCATCATTGCATTTCGCCATGTCACAGGCTGGCACACTGAATACATCTGGCACAGTCCCTAGTACATAGTAACTGCTAATTGACCGGTGTCAGTTCCTGCCTCCCTTGGCCTTTTGTGTAGATTTTGAAGGGGCATGAGAGGCAGCCAGTTGGATTAGATGACTGCACACACCCCCTCCACCGAGTGTCATGATCTCATGTCCCAAGAGGCCCTGGATTGGTGTGTTTGGAGGACGGGGCCTGGGAGGAGGGGGCAGGCCACCGCCTTGGACTTTCCCCTTCTCTACCTGCGGCAGAGTGGCTTCTGTTAATGATCAACAGGAAAGGGTGCCCCAGGGCGCCTGGGAGTTGGCCCTGTGCCCTTCTTCCCCTGGGGTCTCCCTGCCCTGCACGTAGCCAACCATTTAATCAAGTCTGGTGGACTGGCTGGAACGCTACCTGAGTTCCGAGGGGGAGCGGGCCGGGGGAGACCAGGCGGGCCCCTCGCCTCTGTCTTGCTGCCCTGCAGGCTGCCCTTCTCAAGCTGGCCCCTGGTCTGCTGGGCAGCAAGCAGGGATTCAGAGTTGGAAAGCAGGGTGAAACCTCAGCCTTTTCTTGAGATCAAGTCAGCACTGGGGGGCCCTGTGGTGACCCACCTCTTGGTGGGTAAAGCTTGGGTTACAGAGAAAACTTGTAGTTGGAGGGCCTACAGCGCTTTTTGGAGGAGTCCCAAAGGGTTACATCTGAGTTATCATTGTGGGGAACTAATCTCTGAGGAGCCAGGGCAGGAGCGGCCCACATGCCAGCCTAGGTCCCCTCCTCCTGCCCACCAGAGTCAGCTGCTGGTCAGGGGGCGAGGATGTCTCTACTGTGTTTAGGCTGTTTGAATTGTGTTGACATGTTGATAAAGGCCAGGTCCCAAGGTACAGTGCTGTGAGTGATGGCCTTACTTGCGCTATCAGCTTGGAGTACAGTGAAAATAAATATTGGCAATAGCCGAACCAGAGGCAAGTTTCTTACCACCTGGAGCCAGTGAGGTAGCTGCCCCCTGACTCCCAGCTGTACTTCAGAGAGAAGGAGCTGATGACCACACTGGGACAGAGTTCATTTCGCCCACCTCAGTACTTCAGGGAGATGGGAGGCTCCGCTGCCCAGGTAAGAAGCTGATTTTGGAGGCAGGGACCTGAGTTCAAGTCCCTGCTTGGAGTCAACCTCACTGTGACCTCAGGCTAAAAACTTAGTAACTCAGCTTAGAGCCCCCGTTTCCTCAAATGCAAAATAGGATGATGATGATGAACACCTAAGTCAATGGATAAACAAACTGTGGCAGCCACACAATGGAATACTATATAGCTGTATAAAAGAATAAATGAGGGTTGGCTGAGTGGCACGATGGTTAAGAACTGGCTTGGGACACCAGAGGGCCCCGGTTCGGATCCCACATATGAGGTCCAGTGACACTGCCCTCCACAGCTAAGATGCTGAACAACAGCTCAACCTGGAGCTGGGCTGCTGTGAGTC